TCATTATTTTCTTGAATTGGGTTTCAGCATATGACTTCTCATACACCAATCAAATGATCTATCATTGGAGCTAAATAGTTAACTCCCAAGCATTTGGTAGTAAAGCACTTTACTTTTTGACAATTTGACCTGCCACATCCTTCCCCCTCTTAGGAACAAAAACCATCTTTAGACTCCATGTTGAGTGCAAAGTTGTCTTGTAAACATTTCAGTTTTACTTTATTTTTCTAGTTGCTGGAAGTTTTTGTTTCCTTTTGTTATATTTGTGTAGATGTTATGGTGTCTTGTGTTCCACTTGAGAGAAATTAACTATTTTATGACTTATAGTTAATTTTCTAATTCAGTAGTATTTAAAGTTTGGTACAAGGATGCCCCAGAATAAGTAGGAGTGAGGTGGGTGGGGATTGTAATGAGGGAAATAGTCATGAATTTCAACATTCTATAACTAGATTAGAATATTCATATAAATTGTTCTAACTTTTTGTGCAAGTGTTTTACATATGATATGACATTTTTGTTGGCTAATCCTTGAATTCCACTGAAACTTTCACATGCTAATGGCTATAAATTTGTACCACTTTGACCATGTCTGAATCCCTGAGGAAGAGCCATTCCATCTCAAGGAATGGCTTAGATGCTTGTACAAATTGATATGAGTTAGGGGTTTTCTCCCCTGTATATTTTATTTGGTATAGTCAATAATGTATGCAGTTTTGGATTCTGATCAGTTGTACTTTTAGCAGTTTGTCTGAATTTTGATGGTAAATCAGAATCCCCTTTGTATTTGTCTGCAAATATAAGAATAAAAGACTTCTTTTAACTCCTACAACCTTTGAGAAAAGATGCCATCCAGTCAGTGAATAAAGATTTTATTTGTTTGTGTTTATTTCTTTCTTTTACTTATGAGTTGAAAATTATTATCTGCAGTAAATTTCTTGAACCCTCATTTTGTGGATGCTTTTAAACTTATTTGTCAGATATCAGTGTATCTGAATATCACAACTGTACATGTAGAAGCCTCATGGACTTGAATAGCTATATGTATACTAATAAAACAGCCTGTATGTGTCAGTCAGTCAGCACCACAGCTCCACGAGGAAAGAACCTAAAGACCTGAAACTTTGCACACACACTAAGGGAATCCTGAGGGTGTGCACCAGGGTATTATGTTTTTCTCGAAAAACTTATGGCCAATGTTTTTGGCTTATAATTTTTCCCTATAGCCCTTAAGCCATAAAAAGAGAGATATATATGCTGTTAGCTGTCGCTTGGTAGAACAAATTGTTAGGGAATAAGTGTTTAATAATAACAACAGGTTTTAAAAAAAACATGCATATATAAGTGTTAGAATTCATATTATTGGCAGAAATGATTATATTTAAATATTTGTTCATTTGTATTTCTGATTTTCAAATTGATAAAAAATCTTTTTAAATAAAAGTCATTATTACCTATGCAGCAAACAAACAAATTGGAAGTAAGATCAAATTTGTTTTTTTGCTGCATGGGTAATAACTTTTATTAAAAAAGATTTTTAAAAAAATTGAAGGAGATAAAAATGGTGCAAAGCTTTCTTCAATCATTTTATAAGAATCATTTCTAAATGAGCAGTGCAGCTTTTAGTTTTACCAGAAAGTGAGAGAAAAGGAAATGCCTACTCAGGAAGAGTATCACAAAAGGTAAGTGATATTTTCCATCATGCTTAACTAGCCCCTAATAAATGTTGTTTAAGACTCATAACATAGGTAACATGTAGAATTATACATGGACTTTTATCTATGTTACACTATTTTTACTTGCATGGTTTTGGCCCTTGTAACATGGTCTTCATCGGGCAACAATGTAATGAGCGATAAAAATTCATTAACTGTGGAACTGTGTTTTAAAATAGGTATCTAGGCAACAGTCGTAACAGTAACTGATATGTGGTATTAAATACATAGAATTATGATGAATATAGAATATAAATTGATTCCCTTGATATAACAGATAAGGAAAATACAATTAATTATAGGTATTATGTTGAGAAAAAATAAAGGGATTGTTCATACTTCAAATAATATATTGTAAAAGTAAATGTTTAATTTAACATCAAAATCACATAGGTACTGTGCTTCTGTAAGTTTCTAAATATTATTTTTGATTTTCAATTACAAAGTAAGTTGAGTAGTTTGGCTAGCTGAAAGAGTGATTGATTACACTAATTAAATAGAGGGCTTAACAAGAGTTTAGGTTTTTTAAAAATGTGTTGTTACAAAACTGTTATTGTTTTACATTTTGTTAAAAGAAACCATGCATAAAAGTGTTAGAATTCATATTATCATTTTCACCAATAATGTAACACAATAACTGTTTTGTAACAACACGTTTAAAAAAAAACATGCACACACATGAAAGTGTTAGAATTCATATTATCATTTTCACCAATAATGTAACACAATAACAGTTTTGTAACAACACGTTTAAAAAAACACACACACACACACATAAAAGTGTTAGAATTCATATTATTGGCAGAAATGATTATATTTAAATGTTTGTTTGTACTAATTTCATGTTCATAAAATGCTTGAAACAGTATGTCTTTCTTTTAAGTATTAGTACCCTTATGCATTTGACATTTATTGTTACATGAAAAGTGCAATTTTGATCCTTTCTGTTTAAAAATAGCTAAACATCAGCCCTCTATTCGGATAATACCCGGACAATGCAGATGGAAATAAACTATAAAAATTAAGTAGTTGAAGTAAACTTATGAAAATGTAGTATTTGATCTCACCTGATTTGCATTACTGATTGTTGTCTGATGAAGATAAAACAGTTTTGCTGGTTCTGTGCTGATTGGTGTGTGCAGTTATTTTTTTAACAGCATCATTTTAGCCTCTTTTTCTTTCTGTATAGCTGCCTCAACAAATAATGAGAATAAACAAAATCTGCAAATATTTTGATAAGTCCTAAGTTTTCAGTTAAACACTCAAACACTTTGTATATTATAGACATATATATATATATATTTACATATATATTATAAGACCTCGGAAATAGGGTTATTTTAATGCTAGTATGTGAAGTTATGTCAAATCCCTCAAAATACAATCATACGAACCCTTAACTGACTCAAGTCGATGCGAGGAAAGCCCATATTTGGTCATGTCTGGCTGACTTTATGAAAGGCCACGAAAAGTGCCATCTGGTGAATTGGTCAGGCAAACTTACATCACACAAAGGCAAACAACAATGGCATCCCTCGATGAGAGCATTCATGCAACTTTGTCAAACAGCGAAGAAAGCGACAGAGAAATAAACAATGACAAATTTTCAGTATTGAATATCATAGAAGATGATGACAGAGAAAGAGATGAAAGTAATGTACAGTCCATAGCATCTTATGTGTTTGAGCCTGAGACCAAAATTATCACATCTAAACCACTTGCTGATTGTATGGAAAACATTGAAAATGCCATGTTTGCCGAAGTGGATGAAGATTGGCGATTGTCAGGTTTATCATGGTTTCTTTTCATTATTAATTCTGATTACCTTTTGTTTCAATATTACATAGACCAAAATGGCAATAGCATAGTTTATCCAACATTAGCTTTATAACAAAGGAGACAAAATCAAACCCATGAACCCAGTCAAGCTGTTTGATTTTCTTTTTTTTTCTTTCTTTCTTACGGACATCACATATTATAAGCTTTTTTATAATTTGTAAATTCCGTAGTTTGAAATCAAATAATAATAGGATAAAATTAATATAGCTCTAAT